CAGACATACAAAGAAAAGTTCTCAAATATGATGCCATGCATGTGTTGCCTAAGAAAAGACTGCATTCATAGAGTTAGCAGAATGGTTATCAGTAGAGGCTGGGAAGATGGGTGAGAGGAAGTGTGCATGGATTTGTACATGGGGACAAACCAAGCATTCTAAAATAATAGAACACAGCCAGCACTGTTCTTTCATAAATCAAAACGCTTAAAAAGAGATATTTGAATGTTTTTAGCATCAATAAAAGATAAATAAAACAGAAATAGACTATGTAAGCCTATTTATTTAGTGGACCTCACTGCATAAATATTACACCTAACATCACACCATGAAGACAGATGATTATTGTCTGTACAACAAAACGTACTTCACAACATGACACATGTCATTCATTCAATATGCAGTTTGGGTCTATAAAATAGTTAACAGGACTTTAAAATAGCATAAACCAAGTCTTTCATAACTCTGTGTTGTCAAAACTCAACTCTGGTGGGCATGTAACAGTTTCCTATGAGAATGAAATAGTCCATCCTAGGTGGAAACTCCTTAAGCAGTGAAGTAAACAACTCAAAATAGCTTCAGGAAGTCCCTGAAACTGACCTGTTTCACCAGGCTCCTCTCTGCTCCCATAAATAACAAAACCTGAAACTACCTTTCAGAGAAGCTGACCTGCAAAGGAAACTGTTTCTCCAACAAGCCAAGCTGAAAAGAAGATTCAGTGATCAGACCAGTAGCTGCCAATATGTGGAATATTCTCACTTTTAGTGAATTTTTAGCTTAGTACCATACCTCGGTTCTTTGAGGAAAATCTTTTGAACTGAAAATTCATCATTACGTCTCTCAATTTTATAACTAACCTGAGCTATTTTAGGTCTTTCCATGAAATATCAAGGGCTTAACCCTGGGTGGTCTTTCAACTGTGAACTGACAGATGTGCAATAATTTAGTTGTCATTCCAAATCACTTATTTTAATAATTGTCACGCCCAAAGTCCAAACTCCCAAAACATTACCACGAGACCGTATCTGATGCAAAAGCAGAGAGTCTTTATTGCGAGTTCACTATGGTCCTTCTGTCCAAAGCAGCAGCAGCAGCAACTGCAATAGAGGTACTAGTAGCAGCAGCAGCGACAGCAACAAGAACAGAGCAGGAAAGACCCTGAGCAGCAAAAAGAGAGAGTTTATACAGAGGGAAAGACCTAGGGAATTCCCAGCCTCCAGACTTGGGATTGGCTACCCCAAGGATGTAAAGAAATTCCCAAATGCCCGTCACTGCCTTAGGGGAAGTCCAAGCCTGTAGGGGGTCAGTGATTGGTCCATTTTCCCTGCTCAGGGTATTGGCTGGTTTTGAGTCAGGGAGGGGGGAACAGAGATGACTCTGATTCAGGAGCCAAATTGTGTTTCTTTCCTTGTTTTTTTTTTTTTTGTTTGTTTGTTTTTTGACTCAAATTTTGGACCAGGGCAAATATCTTTGGTAAGAGCTTAGTGTGTTGTTTTGGTCCTGGTTTTATTCCACAGTGTCTTTTCTCTGGCTGTAGCTTCAGGGACAAAGTGTTTCTTCCCATGGCTCTGCTTTCATTTTCAGAGTGTGTTTCTTTCCCTGGCTTTGAACTCATCGCCAGCATGCTAGGGGCTATGATAGGACTGTGGACTCACTGAATTTATGGGCTCTGGGCCTCTCACTACTCATTAGGGTATCTTTTAGCTTTAGTATCAAGCTTAATCAAACCTTTTTTGTTTGTTTAGTTGGTTGGTTGGTTTTTGGTTTTCGAGACAGGGTTTTTCTGTAGCTTTGGAGCCTGTCTTGGAACTAGCTCCTGTAGACGAGGCTGGCCTCAGACTCACAGAGATCCGCCTGCCTCTATCTCTGCCTCCCGAGCGCTGGGATTAAAGTCATGCACCACCCCCACCTTTACTGGATATTTCACCAAATCCTCTTGATGAAGAAAAAGCCTGTCGATTATTCTTGTTCAAAAATATCCAACACCCAGAACAAACAGGTTCTTAAAGATGTAGAATGACTCTTAACAGATCGTATCTTGGAAACAGTCATTCACTATCAATTACCTGCAGGTAGGCAGCCCAGCTGTTCTGATTGTACAGTATGTACAAATCGGTATGTTTGCTCTTCCAATGGCAGAAAATATATAAAGAAGTTGCTAATCTGGTTGTGGATCAGTGTGGGGTAGGGTGGGGAGTCCTGTAATTCAAGACACAAACACTTTCTGGGGCACCTGGACAAGCAGAAAGCAGCTTTTCCCAAAGAAGAAATGATTCCACTGAAAATCACTGTGGTATGAGAATTTGCAGTTTTGGTTGTTGTTTTTGTTTTTAGGGCTAAAAAGAGAGAGATAATAACACCAGAGGAAGAGGGTGAAAAGGAAGATGAGAACCTTTGGGCAGCCACTGTTTTGTATGGGCAAATAAATGCTGGATTCAATCAATTCCTGAGAGATGAAGAAAAGATTTTCCAAGGCTACTTTTCTCATTGCACTTGACAATATTTACATTATTTTGCAGCCATAATAATGAAGTTTTATTGCTTTTTTTAAAGACATATTATAAGTTACAATTTTAATGATTGTAAACAACTGAAGAGTTTGATGGTATGTGAAAAAAATATGTCTGGCCAGTTATAAGAACTTTGCTCCATTTCAGTGAAAAAAGAAAGTTATATAAATATATAAATTTTTCATGGAGTTTCTTTTCAATGTTAGACCAGTATTTTCTGCCTCATACTTTATATTTTCAAGGTTTCTGTATGTGTTCCTGAGACATATCAATATGTGAGATATTAATTATAGAATTTGGTATCTGATTAGTAATGGTTTCACTTGAATTTAAATTAGGCACACTAAAATGTATATAATGTGTGTCTTAGTTACTAGTCTTGATGTTGAGACACAAAATAATAATAAACAACATAAAGACATGTTTGTTTTGGCTCACAGTTGAGGGCAATCTAGTATAGTGGAGAAGATACAATAGCAGAAGCAGGAGGAGATAGTGGGCCACACTGTGTATATAGGCAGGAAGGAAAAATTAATAAATGCTTGTGCCTATCTCACCTTTCCTGTATACAAAGCCATATATACATATACAAAAAATATACTAAGATTGCCCTAGTTTATTCTGAGGAAGGCAGCATGAAAGAGAAGAAGGTTATTCTCTCTCCCCACTTGAAGGCTCTGTCCACCCTCATAGAGAAGACAAGGTTGCAGAAGCTTGAGACAGCTGATCTCATTGTATCCACAACCAGGAAGCAGAGAGAGATTTATTCATGCTACTGCTCAGTTCCTCTCTCCATGTATACTCTCTGCCATCCCAGTTGTAGAGATACCCCCATATTAGTTACCATAACTGAAATAATTCCCCAAAGGGAAGCCCAGAGGCCCACTGCCTGGGGAAATTCTGAAATTTGTCAGCTGACAATGAATACTAACCCACACGTGTGGCTGTGACACTGCCCATGTTTAGTATGGGTCTTCCCATTTCAGGTAATCCAATGGCAATGGTTTTCCACAGGCTTACCCAGAGGATCCTGGCAAGCTGACATAATTAACCATCAAAATATGTCACATCCATCTTTTCCCTTTGGACACCCGATAGTGCAGAGTGATTTTTAGTGATCAGTCATGGAAACTGCAGGAACATGTTTGTCTTAGACGTATGTTCCTAACTATAAAGATGTTAAGACATCAGTTGACACATAGCATGCATTTCAATTACTGCTCTATTTTAATGGCTACGTTCTTCACACACTTGAGAAGATATAATGAATCAGTGACTTAGACCCTTCTTCATATTTTGAAATAAATGACTGCCGAATGTCTTAAAGCAGAAATGTGACCCTTGAATAATTTCTATACTTTTATGAATGACTCTCTCCCAGGTACTGTAGTTAAGAGGTATGATTCCTCTAAACATATCAGAAAGGCAAAGAGACAAATGTAAGAAGCCTATGTGTTAAAATAACATAGATTTGTAAAATTTCTAACCTACATGAACCAAAGTTACAGTGATATATCACCTATTTGTACTCTTGCTAAGACTTTCTGTAGGAAGAGGCCAATGTCCTATAGTTTTAATTTTATCAGTATTCACTGAAAAAGTCAATGCTTAAAACCACACAGATTAACAATGAAAGTGTATAAATACTTGCAAATGGTTGAAACATTTAGACTTTTAGATTACTGCAAATGTATCTTTATGTTTCTGATTAGACAATCATAGAAGATATGCATTCATATTTAGATCATGAAATAGCCAAGGGAACAGTGAAGCTATCAGTAATTTCAACTGGGTATCTTTATGAGAAATCACCAGATGATTCATTTATTACACTGGGTTTTGTTAGAGAATCATTATAGCTTTCTGATAAAATGGAGAAAGACAAAATGAAAAGTCCTGTTGGGGATAGAGATTGGCGTGCAACATGATTTGGAGGATATTAGGAATATAAAATGTCCTCCAAAAAATTGCTTATTTGGTCTCAGGTTATGATGTTATCTCATATTAGTTGAGCCCCTAAGTTGTATACAAATGTTTCTGTCAGGAATTTTTTATCTGGAAATTGCTTAAGATAATGTAGAGAATGAAGATATATCATTAGTTATACATGCAAATATGTTCGTGGAACCTTTCGCAGAGACTGAAAAACTTCAGCATAGAATTCCCAATATGAAATAAAATGTGCTAAAATACCTATGTATTAACTTCACAGTTGAGGTTGACTACAATGCAGAGTTCTGATCTAATATCAGGGGGGAATGCTGTTGGGAAGTTCTGAGATGTGAAGGTGATTTGCCTGGTTTTACAGAAAAATGAAGACAGATGATTCAACAAGTATATCATTCTTCCTTTTATTTTTATTTATTTTTAAAATGGGTTCGATTTTTCTTTTGTGGTGATTCCCTGTACCAGACATGCTATCTGAAGCCTGTATAGACTAGAGTAATTTTGTTACCAGGAAGAAACAAACATGAGAGAAGTGGAAAGCTGTAGATCAAACAACTCTGAACCTCACAATGGCAAAGGTTCGGGCTGAGTTATGACTGATGATAAAGACTTTTATAGCAGAAGACGAGCAGGCTTCTGAGTCAGGACTGACAGGTTCTGAGTCAAGTTCGGTGATAAGGAGATTTCTGCTGCTTTCAACCAAGGCACACTTGCAATCACACGCAGGAAAAGAATTTTCTTCCTCTACTCTTTGTTAATTTGTCAGTGCTCCAGTCAATGAGAGCACTTGAGCTCTCAAAGGAAAGCCAATGTTACATTGCTTAATTCTGTTTTCAGGGTATTCTGTGAAAATACTAATTTCTACAATTAAGTGGAATGATCATCATTGAAACAAACAGGCAAGTAGCATGTTGTCCAAGGCCTTTTCCCTTAAAATATTACTTTTGGGTACCCATTCTTCCTTCTTTTTAGTATGCACTTATTTGACGTGGGTTGGCGTGAGCAGTGCCTGAATGCCACAGTGTGTGTGTGGAACTCAAGAATAAGGCTGGCTGGAAATGGTTCTTTCCTTCTACCATGTGGGTCATCTGAATTGAGCTGAATTTCTCAGGCTAGGAGGCAAGGATCTTTACCTACTGAAACATCCCATGGGCCATTAAGTGCTTTCTTTCACAAATGACTTAAGTAGTACCTTAAAGCAAAAACTTGTATCAGTGAGAATGCATGAAAAAAAAATACCATCAAATAAAAGTGAAAAGATTTGGAACAGGAGTTTCTGAGTTGAATTCATTCTTTAAATTACAGTTGATAAAATGAGAAATGACAGTGAGAACCCAATGGGCAAGAAAATGACCCCATGCTATTTGCTGCTCTGTGACATAAAACTGTGAAATAACAATTTAGATTAAAAGTGGTAAGAAATTAAATCTTCTATAACTTGAAGAATGTATGGATGAAATGAGAATCATTTCCAGTGTTGGTCTATTCTAGGCTAACAATGTCAATGACTAATTCAATAGGGGGCAGCCACGGCAGTTTCATTATTTAGTTAAACTCCCCACATAAAATATATTAACAGTATTGAACAAAGGAATTTAACACAGAAGGTTGGAAAGGAAATATTAGTCTGATACAGTTTCATAATTACATTTTGTTCAAGGTGATATAGAATGTTGAGTTAGGATCAATTAGAGACAGAGAAATGGAAATTTGTCTTAGAAAAGATTGAACACGGCCACATTAGGCTAAAGTATCAGAAAGCATCTCAAGATCCAAAGCACTGCAGAGCTTTGCTGCAATGTGCCTGAATGCGAAGTATGGCTGAGATATGCAGTGTTTGTTAAAAAGAAACATTCAAATTAGCTATCAAATTTAGAAATTTAACAGATTTGGGAGAAGGAGTATGTTTCAGCAGTGCAGAAGAGAATGGGATTCACATATTAGTTACAAGGCTGCAAAGTGAACTGAACTGAACTCATTTTATGACCTAAAGCAAATCTTCTCTCCATCTCAATCTTCTCAGCTGCAAAACTGAGCTCAGATGAAAGAGTTCTCATGCGCTCACCTGCCTCTCTCTATGAGCAGGAAGTTCCCTTCGAAGCCAGCACAGAAAACTGTAAAGAAGAAATGGCCGTAAGAACAAATACTAACTCATGCACAATGCATATATGAGCCCTGGCTTTTAATGGTATCATACATATGACCACTTTAAATATGACCATCTTTGATTTACAGTCAAGGAAAGCTGGATAATTGTGAGTATACAGTTACACTTAATTTCAGTATAAAATTGATTTTGCACTGCCTATGAGCATGATACTTTGCATGCATGTTTATAATTCTTTATGTTGTCATCAAAATGGATGCTATTTGTAGTAAATCATTTATAAACACAGAATATCAAGCACACATCAATTTTATTTAACACTCTACATAGGAAAATGGCTAGTGTGGTTCTTAGAAATTCATAATGTTGCGTGAAAAAAAATCTATTTTCTTTCCATTATTTCTTCTTTATTTTCTTTTGCTTTTCTTTTATCCTCCCCATTCCTGTTCCCTTTTAGTCTTTTCTTTGCTCTTTCCTCTCTTGCTACCCACTTTTATTTATCTCTTTTTCCAACTATTTCCTTTCCTATTTTCTTCCTCTGCCTCACCTGTTCCAACTGCATTTCTTCCATTGGCCCTTCCCTTCTCTTTCCTCTCTGTCCATTCATATGTTCATCCTGTATGTTTTGTTTTCTTCTTTCTCATAACAACACTTATTGGCCACCACTAGATGACAGATGGCATGCACAGTATTAGGCATCCTGAAATAAATAACACATGGTCGCCAAGATGCTGAATGTGTGTCTAAAAGGAGAAAAGAATAAGTTGAAACTTCTTAGTAAATCATACAGAGGGCATGGAGAATGAGGTACAGGCTGAAAGAATAAAACTTATTTATAATCTTTTATTTATAGCCTCCATCAACACCTTCAGAGACCACTTAAAAGTGGTGGCGCACGCCTTTAATCCCAGCACTCGGGAGGCAGAGGCAGGCGGATCTCTGTGAGTTCGAGGCCAGCCTGGTCTACAAGAGCTAGTTCCAGGACAGGAACCAAAAGCTACGGAGAAACCCTGTCTCGAAAAATCAAAAAAAAAAAAGTGTAGAGAAAACAAGCCCCTACCCAACTGTGCCACACTATACTAGAAGATACCACAAGCATTGATAATAGTTTGCTTTTCTAATTGTTTTAAAAATTATTCTTGGTTTGGGATACAAATATCAGTGATTAAGAATACTTGATGTGAAAGCAAGTGGACCTGGGTTTAGACAGTTCACATCCACATAAAAGCAAAATGGCAAAGCGTAGACATATGTGCCTAAACTCCCAGGTGAGCACTGGCAGACCAAGTAAAACCAGTGATATTTTGGTTTGACGAAAGAGAGATCCTGTCCTTAAAAAGTCAGGTGGAGAGTCATAATGGCACCCTATGTATTTTTCTGACCTCAGTATACATATACAGTATGCATATGTATTTTAAAGATAACTATTTCTAGTAATGAAACTACTCCATACTTTTTGACAAACCATTACACACACACACACACACACACACACACACACACACTCACACACACACAGACACACACACACATAGACACACAAAAAAATTACTCTAAGTAGTCTTAGAAATAGTAAAAACAACTGACCACATGACTGGATTTAGCAAACCCTAAATTTTTTCCCCAATGGCCTTTTGCTAAGGTATTGGGATTTGTTCTTGGTGTATCCTTCCTAATAATGGTTTTATGTATGCCTAATGCCTTGGTCCATTCTTTGTCAGTTTGACATCTGAAAGGAGGAGTCCCAGTAACTGAAATCAGTCACACAGGTGCTATATACCTATACTCTAAAGCCTTGAACATTAAATATCAGGTTAAGTGGTATGTTTTTTATAGGTTTTCATTGATACAGAGATTTGCATTGGTATGGATCTTGGTCAATTGATACAAACTTAAGGTCAATTTTATTATATGTATTTCTGCTCTTGACTAAGGTATTATGTTTGTGCAGCTCACTTAAAATGCAATGTATAATTAAGAAATATAGGTTAATAGTCATCTATAATAGTCAAGCTTTTAGTCATGTTAGATTTTCTAGATGTACAGAGATAAATTTCAGATGGATAGATATTCTTCAGATCTTTCAAAGACTACAGAATATGGCATTTAAAATGTTTTAGTAACTTTTCATGACAACGAGATACATCTGCTCCTGGCAGCACCAATCTACTTCCAATCAAGAAGATAATGGGCCTTGAAGAGGCTCCTTATGGAATTTGCTAGCTATTTGGGCAAGAAACTGATCTTGCCTGGATTGCTTGATGTTATGCTGAATGAACTGGACATGTAGGGCCCACAGAGAAATAACTGCTGAACTTGTCTAAAGATGAGATGTTCTTTGGAGGTTCCTGCTTCATGAAAGAGTCTGCCAGACATTCTGCAGACACAAAAGAAAGTGACTGACAAACTGCCAATGTAGGCAGACCAGCTTTTGAAATTTCCTGCTTTGTGGAAAAGTCTGGTGGATACGATGGGCCTGTAGGCTGAATATTAATGCTCCAGCATTACAGAAGAACTTTGGATAACTGTACAGGCAACAAGATGTCTCTGGCAATTCTAGAGCTTTGGAAGTTGCTTACAATGCACTTCCTGTTTACTTAGATAATATTATATCCTTCTGGAGTCTTTGATGGAGTTGAAGAATGGATAGTTATAGTTTTCTTAGTTATGATAAAAGATAAAGTAGATTTAAATATTGTAACTATAATTCTTACTTGATAACTGTTTTGTTACATGTAATTTTACTATGTTAGAATTAAAACCTTCCTTTTCATTTAAACAGAAAAGGGGAGGTAATTTGGGATTCCCTTCTGTTTGCTGTGATTACCATTGGTTAATAAAGAAGCTGTTTTGGGCCTGTGATAGGGAAGAACAGAGCTAGGTTAGAAAAACTAAACTGAATGCTGGGAGAAAGGAGGCAGAGTCAAAGTGAAGTCTTGTAGCCCTGCCGGAGACAGATGCTGGAACTTTCCAGGGAAGCCACAGCCTCGTGTCAACACACAGATTAATGGAGATGGGTTAAATTAATATGTGAGAGATAGCTAATAAGAAACTAGAGCTAATAGGCCAGACAGTGTTTTAATTAATACCATTTCTGTGTGGTTATTTTGGGTCTGAGCTGCCAGGTGGCTGGGAAACAAACAAGTGGCCCTTTTACTACACTTCATCTGGTAAAATAATTTGTAAGAACACTAAGCCAATTTTTGAGTGAGCTATTTCAGTAGACATATCTGGAAGACTATCTATGCTATTTCTAAAACTCCCCCACACATTTTCCCTTTATATGTTTTAATATGAATTCTTTCATTTTAATGTTAAAAACTGTAACGGTAAATATGACATCTTACAACAAATTGAATGACTAAGATCAATAAGACAAATGACAGTCCATGCTGTTGAGGATGTGGAGTAAGGGTTACAGTCTTTCATTGATAGTGACAGTACAAACTTGTATAACCTTTAAGGAAATCAGTGTGGTGATTCCTCAGAAAGATGGGAATTGGTCATCCTCAGTTCCATCTACCAGCTATACTTCTCTTGAGCATATACCCTAACGATACTTCATCCTAGTACAGAGATGTTATCTCAACCATGCTTATTGCTGCTTCATTAATAATAGCCAGAAATTGGAAAAAAACTAAATGTCTGTCAACAAATGAATGGATAAAGAAAATGTGTTACATTTACATAGGCTAATATTTCTCAGACATTGAAAAAATGGAAGTCATGAAATTTGCAAGTAAGTATGAAGCTAAACAAACAAATGAAAAAAAATTCCTGAGTGAGGTAAACCAGACCCAGGAAGATAAATATGGTATATATTAACTTACATGTGGATATTATCTTTTAAGCCATTGGTAAGCAAGCTACAACACAGAGAACCACAGAGGTTAGATATAGAGTAAGGAAATGGGGAGGGGAAAGGCTGGATCTCCCCTAGAAAGAGCAAATAGAATAGATAGTTATGGATGGACTGGAGGTGTATTGGAATATGAGGATCAAATGGGGATGAGGAGGGACAGTAGAGCAAGGGTAGAATATGGGGAGAAATGAATAAAACTAAGGGTCTTCTGGGATGTTGTATGAAAAACTAATACAATAGAAATACTCTAATTATATACAAGAAAAAACAAGCTGGACAGTGGTGGCGCATGCCTTTAATCCCAGCACTCGGAAGGCAGAGGCAGTGGATCTCTGTGAGTTCGAGGCCAGCCTGGTCTACAAGAGCTAGTTCCAGGACAGGAACCAAAAGCTACAGAGAAACCCTGTCTCGAAAAATTAAAAAAAAAGAAAGAACATTCTTTAAAACTATTACCTGAACCTTTAATATGTGCATTTTGTATTTTACATCAATTATTCTTCAAAATTATTTTGATGTTTAAATATTTTGGATTTCTATAAAGGTGTTCTAAATCTGTGTGGAAATGCTATAATGTCAGTATAAAGCTATAATAGGAAAATATTTAAATTACTTTACTACTTTATGTACCCTTCATATAACAGTCGGAAACATTTATGACTTCCCCGAAAATCATGAAATTCATGATTAAATCAAATTTTAAGCTCTTATACTTTGGTTCACTGTTTTCCCCAAAGGCTCCTCAATCTCTCCCACAAAGAGAACATCTAGTCACCCCATTATTTTTCCTGAAGTAGTCAAACATGCTATAAAATCGGTTAGACATAAATTGGAATTCTTGATTCAATATAAAAGGCAAATTTATTAAATCCTGCTCTATCACCTCAAAATATATCTATAGAGCACTTATTTGTAAAGCAAGATTCATTTCCTAGTTAAATTTTTCAAAATGGCTGGAGTCAAATTAAAAGTAGGGACTATTATCAAATAATGTAAACAACAGAAGAACTAATAGGCAAACTAAAACAATTTTAATGTCTACAAATATTGAGTGAAATAGTTCAGACTTCAAAAAGGCGATATGTAGAATGTTTCTCAATTTTATCTGACTACTGAATTATTTCTTAAATGAAAAAAATCATACTGTAAACAACTTACTACTGTCTGCTGCCAAATATTAAGCTAGAATATTGCTATAACCTTCTACTTTTCTCATATTTGGGGTGTTTTTTATGCTATAAAGTTCAGTTATTTCGTGATATCTGTTATCATCACTTCTTGTTTCTGTTATTGATGGATCTTTGTCTCATTTGAACAGGTTGTTGTCTGTGATCATGGTCATAACTAATAAGAAAGAGATAGGCACCCCAGTCCTCACAGAACCAAGCTTGTTACTATAGTCAGCTTAATATGTCAGCAATGAGAAAAATAATTCACAACCTACCAGATTTTATGCTAAATACTTGCATATCTCTTTTACTTACCGTTCACACTGTCTGGAAATCAGGAATTGTTCCACTGATTTGTGAAATAAGACAGGAAAATATATCTTAAACATTTTCTGTTGTGTTTTAGTGGGTTTTTTGTGTATGGGATGTACATACATGAGTGGGGATGGTCAGAGACCAATGTTGGGTATTTACCAATATCACTCTGTTCCTTAGATTTTCAAAGAATCTCGATTGTGATTAGATAGTTTCCACCTTATTTTATAGGACAGGATTTCTAACTGAATCTTGAACACATTGTTTCAACTAGATTGCCTGGCTAAAATTCTGGAATTCACCTCTCCCCATTATCCAAACATTGATGTTACAGACAAGCCACAATACCTGACGTCTCTGTGGGAGATGGGAATTCCAAGCCTGGTCATGAGAACTCAGATGATCATGGTGTGCAGAAAGCATTTCAGCAATGAACCATCTCCCAGCCCCGAATTCCACTATAATGAAATAGTGTAATGTTAGTTCCTAGTCTTTTCTCTCTACTCCAATCTGTACAAACATATTATTGTGTTAATAGATGATGTCAACATTCTTGCCTCTTTGGAGATTCCAAGTCACGGAGGATAATACAAGGCAAAATCTGCCCAACTCATAACTGTAAACTCAGTTGTTTCTTTAGTTAGATGTGACCCAATTAGTAAAAGACTCTACCATATCTCCACAGAAGGCCACATTAAGATAATTATTATAATGGTACATTGTGGTCATCAGATCAATAGCAGATATTTGCTAAATTGTACAAAATTACTTTACATACATCTCATCAAATTACGTTCTATATCACTTCAAAAACAGTAAAAAAAATGCTGAAGTAATACCACTTAGTTGCTCATAGAGTTGCCAGTTTTTCTTAGCATAAGAATATCACATAAAGACTGGAGAAACCATGTATGATGCTGATGTGTGATTCCCCTATGTATGCTGTGAATAGGTTTAATTACTATTGGTTAATAAAGAATCTGTTTTGGACCTATGGCAGCACAGAATAGAGCAAGGAAGGAATCCCAAGTAGTGATAGGGGAGAAAAGAAGGCAGAATCAGAGATGCCATGTAGCCACCACAGGAGACAGACACCAGAGGAAACCGTACTGATAGGTCACAGCCACGTGTTGACACATAGATTAATAGAAATGGCTTAATGTAAAATGTAAGAGTTAGTTAATAAGAAGCCTGAGCTAATAGGCCAAGCAGTGTTTTAATCAATACAGTTTCCGTGTGATTATTTTAGTCTGGGCAGCTGGGAACCAAACATCCTCTGCCTACATGATGCTTAAAATTTTTCTAATGTTTGTTATTAAGAAAAGTCTGATTTCTTTAAAAAAAAAGTGTGCTAGGAATTGAACCTAGATTGCCATGCATGCTGAGCTAGTATGCTTTATCACTGAGCAACACCACACAGATGCATATATGTGTGTGTGTGTGTGTGTGTGTGTGTGTGTGTGTGTAAAAACATATTTTTTATTATGTGGATGTGGTAGGCATTGTTAAAATATTTACATATTTAAATTCTTAGTAGCTTAGTTTCAAGGCAATGTGAATAACTATAGGCTTTAAAAGATATATGAACCTATTCTGTATCTTTGTTCATAATTAGGTGACTGAGTGTCAAGTTGTACATTTCATGGTATTTTGAGAGCCCAGTTTAAGCTAATTTTCATTATTTGAATTTACAACTCCAAAAATTCAAAATGCTTATTAGAAAGAAAACACATAATGTCTGAAGTTAGATTTATAAAGGATGGAGATGAAAGTAGATAATTTTCCAGCCTGCAAGAAACCTAGTTGTCACCCTTTGGTTTTATTCTATTATTGGGTGAGTATAGATTAATGTACTTGCTTCCACTGTGGCAATATATAATGCATGAACACAATTACCGGGGTAATTTAGAAACAGAATGCCTTTAATCTTTTGTTCAAACCAGTCAATTACAATACATAGGCTGTGGAATGTTATATGATTGTGCATAGACTCGTCAATGGAACTGATCTTATTTAAATATGGCTGGAAAATTGTGAAACCTATAATCTTACATATTACATTGCATGTAATATAACATATAAACCTTATATATTACACAGCTATGGAAATTTATAATGTATGTATTAGTTAATCTAAAAATACCATTTTGCCAGGCGATGGTGGCGCACGCCTTTAATCCCAGCACTCGGGAGGCAGAGGCAGGCGGATCTCTGTGAGTTCGAGACCAGCCTGGTCTACAAGAGCTAGTTCCAGGACAGGCTTCAAAGCCACAGAGAAACCCTGTCTCGAAAAACCAATAAATAAATGAATAAAAATACCATTTTGAGAATTATAGCTATATCTGGTGAAGAGGATTCCTTTTTTGTTTCTTGAAGAAAGTGGAGTTAGAGGGTTTCCAAATTCAATAGCCCGTGAAAGTCAATGGCACAGTCATGAATAGAAGCATTGCACAGCAAATTTCTGCATGCCGATTCTTTTTTTTTTTTTAGTAGATAAACATTTATGTTTCAAAACATACTGGGGATTTTACTACCTTAAAGTGGTATTCATTTGCTGAGTTTAAAAGTCATTCAAAATTTATTAGCGAACCATGCTGCTTTGTTACAACTTACTCTTGTATTATTGTGTCATGAAACCTTATAGGCAATGAAACTTTATATGGGAAACTTACAATCTGCACAATTTGTAGGTTAGTCTTCTTTCCCTGGAGTCCTTGATTTGAGGAGAAATGTGAACTTGAATTTACTTAAAAAGCTAAGTAAAAAGGGAGGGTGTTTAAGAAATGAATCAAAAATAGTAACGTGTGTTTCTCTAGGCATTTGGTGACTAAGATCGGGCTATGTGACTTAACAACCACTTGACTGAGTTTGAAATTCCACTGCCATTGGTTGACTTCCTCAGTAACCATTCGCTAACAGCAGAATCCAAGTCAGCACCACGGAGAGCTCCACACATTTCGCCTCTGGAAGTGGAAAGTTCCTGTTTCAGGCCCAGCTGCAGCTAGGGAAGAGAATGACAGAATAATCTACTTACAAAGTAAAAATAGATAAAATAAACCAAGCATTGGGAAAGGGTATATCCTCAATATTATAAGGGAGGCAATTCTACAGATTCAGGGACAATCAAACTAGTTAATTAGACAATTCAACTTTTTCAGATGCTGCCTTCCTTTTGATTTGTTTTCAATACTGTCATAGGAAATAATTAAAAATTCGCGGGTTCTTGTTTTTCTTTGGATTTGAAACATATAAAGTGTTATGTTTGGCTCCCATTTCTTACAAAATATCTTCCTAAACTAACCTTGCTTCTTGACACAGAGTTCCACTCTCGTTATTTTCTTCAGATTTGAGCTGTAACTAACAAAATGCGAACCTCGTTGACTCAGACAAAGCAGGACAATGGGCTGCACCCTCACCTTTCAGAGGCCTTCTAGCAAGCAGCTACATGTTCTGATGGAAGTCTATCGACCTTTATTGTCCATAGAATATGATAGAAACAACAGATTTGTCTATGCTCTCTCCTGTAGAATGAAATGGTGGCAAACACAGAAAGGAGTGTGGATATGGCTATTAAAGATGACAGCATCAATGAAGGGAAAGAAGCAGGAGGGGAGAAAAAGAAACGTGGAAAGGACAACTTCTAAAAAATGTTTTTCCTAGCCCAGCTTGCCTTAAGACTTCGGTAGGATTTGAACCGAAGTATGTGTAAACCAGGAGATTCCCACATTTGAAGACTCTGAGAAACAAGAATCAAGAGGTCTCAATGTTGCCCTTTGAATCTCTTCCTGTCTTATGCAAGCGCTCCTTTAGAAACGGGGAGAAAGCCAGAGGAATTGGCTAGTATGTTCAGAAGGTAAGTAGCAAGAGAGGTCACTTCAGGGCTGCAAACTCTTAGCCCCACCCACCTTTTGTTCTTTCTCCCTGGAGCCCAGCCTCAACCATTCCAAACTCTTGCCTTGTTTTGAACCATTTGTTTACACAATCTTTGCCCTTATCATCCTCCTGGCAACCTCTAGTCCCTGGAGACCCAGTCACCCCCCAAACGTTGCAACTCCTGAGGGACTTCCTCGGGGAAACCCGGCATGCTGAGCTGTGCTGGGTGCTGACAGCCTTCAATCTTTCAGAAGCTTAGTTCAAGCTGGATAGCCCGGGCTTCATTCAGGGCCCACCCTTCAGGTGCTCAGGGGATCTGGACCCTGAAATTGCACCTGCACTCTTAGGTGGCGCATCTTAGATCTTCAACATCCTGAGCGCCAGCGGAGCTTTAATACACTCATTGAAGGGCTGGCTTCCCACCTGTCTTTTCTTTGCAGCTGAGGGTGTGTTAACTATCTCGGTGCAGGGCGCTTAAGGATGGAGCCCTATGGCTAGGGACGGTGGAGATCACCTTCCCAGAGTAGCTGTTTTATCACTGAGTTTTGGAGATTTCTTGGCTGCCTTCCGCTTAAGGCACGCTTGAGTAACCCGAGCTGTGGCGGCGCCCAAGCTCCCAGGATAACGCTGTGTGTGTGTGTGTGTGTGTGTGTGTGTGTGTGTGTGTGTGTGTAGGGGGAGAGGGCGGGGACAGAAACGTCAACCCCCACCCTGCCTCCTTTTCTTTTCCTTTCCCCCTTCCTGCAAAAGGCGCACAAGTCTTCTACCCCACCCCACCCCCGCCCACCAGCAATCCTTGGGGCTCTGGGCAACAGCCAGGTTAAGCCCATTTGCACTGGGAAATTGGCGCTGTTTGGGAGAAGAGAAACAGATCGATTGCCCTTGTGACTCCCCGCCACCACCCCCCCCCCCCCGGCCCAGCCCGCCCCCCGCGTTCCTCGGCCCTCCCCCGCCGCCTCCCGCACCCCGCCTCCTCCCCTCCCCGCCCCCAAGCCTCTCACCCGCGTCAGGCCGGTGCGAGGCCCCCTCCAGAAGGTGAGCGGGATGGATTGGACTCCGGCGGGGAACGCGGGTGTCTCGAAGTGGTGCTAATGGGAAGAGATTTCTGCTCTCCAAAGAAGATGCGCTGCCACAAAGAGCGGCTTGCGCGCCGGCCTGGGCTCTAGCCCGGGAGACATCCCGGGAGAACTCCGAGCTCGGAGCGCTCGGCTAAGACCCGGGCAACATGCCTGTTCGCAGGGGGCATGTGGCACCTCAAAACACCTTCCTGGGGACCATCATACGGAAATTTGAAGGACAGAGTAAGTTCGTTTGTTCTCTTCTGTCGCTCGCTTTTGGCTTTGGTAGAGCACTTGGCGTCCGTCGCTTCCAACCTAGAGAGATGGGCAACTCTAGACTGTCAAGTTAGAGGCTGGGAAAGCCAGTCAGGCAGTTCGGATGGCAGCGGGAGTGTTCTCTCTCTAATATTAATTTGGATTTACATTTTAGATTATGGACTCCATTGTACCAGGCAATTTGATCCTCCTCTCCCACTGCTCCATTATCTGCCTTGCTACTTCATGCCCTACTAGTCCACAACCTTAAAGGGAACGTGCTGGTATAGCATGGGCTTGCTTTATGAAGCTCCCTTTCTGTGGCAGACTTTTTAAAGTCAGGAGCAGAGCCGACCATAGGCTCAGAACAAGGACATGTAAATGGTAGTAGCGATGTAAATGGCTATGCAAACTGTTTTATCTTGGTAAACTGCTGGGCTGTGGAATGTCAAAGACGCTTGCTAGATGTCAGTTGGCTCTTAAAACTGAACTTTGTACGGAAGCTGAAAATAGACGTCAAAGAATAATTTGGAGAGTGGTGGTCTGGTTTTGGGTGCAAGACGCTCACTACTCAAAAACCGTAATTGTGTCTCTGTGTTGCTCCCCTAGACATGCTGTCTGGAAATTTAAAAATCAAAGGGCAGTCCGTAACCCCACAGAGACTGAATGTAGATAAATTTAATGTAGGCATGTAAGCAAACCACGAGGAATTAATTATTTTACATAAATCTAGTAATTTAAAATCCTATAGTTGTAGTTTTATATTCTGCCCTAAATCTCCCTCAGTGTGCATTTATTTTGCATACCTTCACAAATTTTGCAGGACTGCATTTAATGATGTGAAGATATGGTGTCTGTGTACAACATTAACTTCTCTATCCTGCTTCATATTCTTTCCAAAAATAGCAAACAGTTTGCTAGCACACTTAATGGAATTGGTATTAAAATATCTACTATCACACAAAATTCTACTTTGTTACATAGAAAAAAGTTTTTTAATGTGTTATCATCATGCTTAAAGCATGTGTGTAGTTTCTATCCTTTGCAATTGAATTATGAAAGTGTAAAGCTTTACATAATTTATTGTTAATAAATGTGAAGTCATTTCATTGCTAAAGATAATTGTCTTAAAAACACAAGCCTGTGTAAAAATTGCAAACATATACGCCTTCCTTACAAAAAATCAAGGAAAAAAACAAATCCAAGAATAATAAATGCTTTGAGAAAGTGACATTCTAAGGTTCAGTCAAAGTTGATGTAAGAAACATGACAGTTACAGGATGTTTCAATTTTCTGACTTGGAAAAATTTTACCATACAGGTAAGTAGCATTCTGGAATTATCCATTGGCAAGCTGCATTTCTGCCTGTCAAATAGGACCCCTGGTTTTCACAGAGCTTGGGAACTAGACAAATTGAATATTTCTGTTCTTGAAATTATAAAATAATTTTCTTAATTCCTTAATTACTTATTGCCACTGATCTCACACATAAAGTACTAGAGGTGTATGTGTGTGTGTGTGATTTTTAATTCTTGGGAAGGGTCTAGATAGTTAGCATCTGGGGGAAACAACTGCTTTCCAGGCCCTTATTATGCAACTAATTGTTTTAGTGTTTGTGTGAACCCTGTGGAAGATGTCTAAAAGATGTCCTGCCCTCTCCTTATTGCAGATAAAAAATTTATCATTGCAAATGCCAGAGTGCAGAACTGTGCCATCATCTACTGCAATGACGGGTTCTGCGAGATGACTGGGTTCTCCAGGCCAGATGTCATGCAGAAGCCATGCACCTGCGACTTCCTTCACGGGCCTGAGACCAAGAGGCATGACATTGCCCAGATTGCCCAGGCGTTGCTGGGGTCAGAGGAGAGGAAAGTGGAGGTCACCTACTATCATAAAAATGGTAAAGTGGGCCTGATTAAAGTTTCTTGTATTTGATTCCCTTGAAATGAAATTTCGATTACTCAAAGTTCATATGCAGAGAAACACCATGTAGTTAATTGTAGATGAATTTTTTTTAATGTAAAACCTTAGTATGCAAGAAATAGGGATGTTCTTATTATTGGACCAGTAGGAAAAAGATTCTTCTTCGTGTAAGGGAACGTTGTTTGAACTCTGTAGACGTGCAGTAACTTAATGTCACCAAGGGCAAGAATGTCATCAGTCAGTCCTGACACCTTTTAAAGGAATGATGTACAGATTTGAAATCCACTGTTTTCTGTGCCTAGAATGAGAGAAACACATTTTATTTGCCTACATTTGAACATATTCCACTAGGTCTTCTTGGAAGCTATTTAATGTGCATTGAAGATTGGTACAGTTATGAATGTTTCTTGGCTTTTTCAGTGTGGATGGATGGAACTTCTTGTCTCTTTTCTTTGTTCTTAGAGAAGATTAAGCAGAATTTATAGTAACTCCTTCAACTGAGTCACAAAACTTGGGTTCATACATATGTTATGAAATAAGACATATAGAAGACATTACTCGCTGTAAGAAATACGAAAAAGAATCTGTGAGCGTGCAGGGTTATTAGCATTCACTCATCTACCATAGATAAGCTAGCACTTCAAAGTTAAGGCCATTATTTCAACTTTAAAGATACACTGCCTTCTTATAGTTTTGTCCTGGGAGCCATGTACATACATTTATACTATAGCTCCCTTTCCCTTCGTCTCTCTCAGTATCTCTTTTTCTCTGTATGCCAGGCTATAGTCTACACCATAGTGTGACTCCTTTGAAAACTATGTGTGTGTTCATATTATGGATATAGATATAGATAACTGAATACAAATAGATTACTGTATACTCATATAATCCCTTTAAGGGAAATATAGATGCATAGGGTGCACACTTAATGGCATTTACTCATTTAGTAAAACACCTGTAGAAAACAAGTATGCTGCAGTTTCTGCCCATATGGCATCATCTGTTTCTCTCTGTTGTATGTACAAAACATAATGATTCTGAGAAGAATCTTCTCAGTGTTTTAGAAAACTCTTATGTTTGGCAAATGTATGCCACGCTATAGTCTACACCATAGTGTGACTCCTTTGAAAACTATGAAGAAAAGAATATCAAAAGAAAGGTATGATTCTTTCTCTTATTTTCTTAAAAGGAAATGTGTCATGCTGCAAAATGTGCAATTCTTAATTATTGGATTTTTTTCATTGTATGAAGTTAAACTTGAGTGGGTTATTTGGAACCAGGTATTACTGGAAAAACAGGTTTGTATTGCTCCGGAATGAAAGCAAATATATGATTATCAAACAGCACAGAGCTTGTTTCTTCAATCCTTCCCATTTTCTCTGCCTTTTTGATCAGTAGCTTCATGTATTATAAATAGTCCAATAGTTCCACTGTCTAGAAATATTTCTGTATTGAGACTTTCATGAAACACTGCAACTTACCTCTTTCGTCTATATGATGCCAAGAAACTCAATTTTTTTGAAAGTGTAAAAAGTTCAGTGCTGTTTCTTCTCTGACTATAAAGGATAAGGTTGACATGGTCTGTGTTGTGGTTTTTCAAGGCAATGTGGTCCATCATTGGTTGATATATTTTCAAGGCTGTTTAAGACACTTTTTCCAGCTTAAAAACTTCAAGTACTGCTCTGGCTAAACCAATTAAAAAATGAGTACATTTTTTTAGAATGGTTTTAAGTAGGAATTGTACCTATTATGGTGTAAATAAAATGTGGAAGTTTTGCACCCTTATCAATTCATTCACTATAATCATAAAATGAGCTCAGAACACTTCTCAAAAGGAATTTTATATTTAAGCACAAACCTGTTGGTTACAAAGCCTCTAGTAAAGATGTCAGTGCATTGACCATTGCAAACCTATGCCTGGGTGGTTTACTTAGCTATCCGAATTTTAAAAACAATTTCATACGATTCTTTGTTTGGAAGCCAGTTTAACTATAGAGATGTCAGTCTTGGTGAAAATTGTCTCAGTTGATTTTTTCAGGTGCAACACACTTTGAAGGAGTAGGGTATCTTTAGTATTAGCAAGACACTGTCTATTTAACTTTAGCTGGTAGAGGAAATGAATAGATGCACTCAGTTTTTCTACATTTCAAGGAAAACTTATTAAATGAAATCCCCTTGGATACTGTTAAGATACAGATATGTTTACCTACTTTGGTTGCAATAAACTAGTGGTTAGCTTTGATGTTAATTCAGGTGCATTGAATAGAATCTTGAGTGTTTACTGTCTTATTCACATGACAGCTATAAAATCAGTCAAGGCTTATGAGCTTCAAATGCTTTGATAGTCTCACCTTTTATTGACCTGCTGCAAGCCACTTTGTATTCATAAAAGCAGAGAGACAGAAAGAAAAAAATAGAAACATTTTCATTGGTTTGTTTCTTAAAGTTTCCTTAAGTCCTTTTAGAGGTCATTTATTTTGAGGGTATGCTTCTTAATTCCTGATTTTATTTAGTAAATGCTTCCTTTGCTTTTAATTTATTCAGCAGTTCAATGAAATATGTAAGTTATGTAATGAACACAGTGAGAAAGTTAGGAATAGTTGATATATTCTACATTTACAATTTATTCTTGATGGAACAGCAAAACTAATCTCAGGATTAAAATATTATTTATGAAAGCTTGTTTCCTGACGGGACCCACTGGTTTCCTGAGCAGTGGGAGCCAGGGGCATATGCAATGAGTCCCAGTGGAAATGTCGTGAGCTGCATAGCCAACTGAGACACAATACTTCCTATCTTGCTCTGTATAGGACTGTTCTAGGTAGAACAAAGTTTGCTATTTACCAGAATATCAATTCTTAAAAACCCACTTATCTGAAGTAGAAGCACTTGACAGCCCTTCCTTTGAGAATTCTATTTTACAGTTTAAGTCATTATTGCATAAATCATTCTTGGCAGCTCTGAATGTTGCTTGAGGTGATAAAGCTGTAAATCTTTTGACATGAAACTCTAATTATATAAAACTATAATTACACGGAGACTTATATAAGGGTGGGCATGTATTTTAATACTGTTTAAAAAAAGTGTTTTTAAAAAGTACCTTGAGAGGAGTAGTGACTGAACTAGAAAATGATTTTCTTATTTGTGGTTTGCAGGTGATGGGAATAATTGGCTGTGACTCAATTTACTTGCTTACTTGAGTTTTTTTTTGGTGTATCACATAATAGAAATAGCCTGTTGGAATCCTAAAACCCTTCATCTATATTTACATGTGTAACTCAAGTTGCCAAGCAACTTCAAAAACCTAGAAAACCAGAGTAAACTCATGAACAAATAACACCTTTATTCAGAAGGAGAGAAGGTTCTGAAATGTATGAGAATTAGTAACCAGGCAGCCTTATTATGACATTGTCATTAAATTTCCAGACCCAAATGCAGTTGGAATTTTATTGTTCAACCGGTATAGTATATAGTTACCTTTCTTGTCTTCGTGTTACTTTTCAATAGCTGGGGGATGGACAGTTACTGAGGAGAGTCCTTGCCTGCTCTGCTCAGAGTTTCACTTCCACTTATGCTGGAAGTGGCTTTGGTTTATTAACATTGAGTCTTGCTTTCCTGAAAGTGATGCAGAAAGACCTAAAAGGTGCTGTTCTGAAATTAAGAGTGAAGGGTTACCCCGGGTTTTAGCTCTAGTTTAGGTGACAGGCTAATCATAGGTACAAAGATTGCACAAGAGGTCTCAGCTCTGAGAGCAATTGGATGTGTTGTATGAGGATAGAGCAATTGTATGTGTTGTATGAGGATAGAGCAATTGGATGTGTTGTATGAGGATAGAGCAATTGGATGTGTTGTATTAGGATAAAGCAACTAATGTTCTTTTGCAATTTCTAAACCATGGATATTTCTAAGAAGTTGCTTACAAACAAATAAAAAAGTATAGAGAGATCTTATGACATTTAATATCAATTATAACTCTTCCTATATTTTTCAGCTTTAATAACTACTAATATATACTTTTAACCATACTTTGTTACTTGTGCACTGTAATGACGTCTTAAGGAAGCAATGCAGCTTAGTTAAAATTTTAGTCATATGAAATAACTATTAGAATAGCTTTACATAAGCTTTGTGCTCATAATATATTCGGCTCTCCTAATTCTTGGATTGTATAGTAGAGCTGCAGATGGTGGTTTTAAGTACAGAAATAGAAATATAGTTTGTGTGTATGTAATTCAAGCAACAGGAAAGATTTCCAAGGAGTGTGTTGCCTGGGATTCATTGTCACTTTCTTTCTCTTATCTCGACTTCTCCATACTTTATTCAGCAGGATATTATAACATCAGAGATTCTAAAATTCATTGTCTTTCACAGATCTAATTTGTTTCTGAACCCCATACTTTCTGACTTTCTGGAGATTATGCTTGATCCATTGTATCTGATAGTAAAGTAACCCTTCTAAAACAGTATTTCCCCCCCACCCACAGTCTGCAACCTCATTTCATTCTTGTCTCATGTGAAACTAAAATGTCCCAAAGATAAAAGTGGTCTGATCATATCTTGGTACAGCACCCTCCAGCTCTACACCTGTGATCACCGGTGCAAAAAGATGCAGTCTTTACTGGTGGCTTGGGAGAGGACTGCTTGGTTGGTTTTATTCCTAAATGGCTTGAGAGCAGGTCAGTTTCAAGGCATGGTGTAGACTAGTCGGAGCAGTTTGCTTCTGCTAAATTTCTAAGGGGTTGTGTGTGCTCTGTTGTCTGTCTGGTTGTTTGTTATACATAGGCACCAGGTCTGCTGCAGCCAGCTGCTGAGCGAATCCTTGGACAGTTGAGCTGCATGGGAGTAGCAGGTATAGTATGGAGTGCTCTGGTGCACCATTAATAGTGCAATGTGAATTAGACGCCAGGAAATCCTTATAATTTTATCTCTTCTTTATAAACCACTGGTCAACAAATATCTCACGGTACTATTCCCGTC